CGTGCCGCTTATCAATACACTTGATTGATATTTTCTGCGCCCAATTTATTTAGGGGTAAATAAGGCACATCAAAGTACATTTTTAAAAAAGGGGTAATTTTTTTCGTCATTTTTAACCACGGCTGCATGGAAAAAACGAATTTTCCCAGGGTAACGGCTTAGTACTCGAAGAAGCTCAGAACCTAATGTTTCCAAAATTTGAATTTAATTAAAATCGATGCGATAAGTTTATCGCTATCTTCGATGGCCCGAACACACCCATAACGCATATAGAACGTACAATCCCGGCGGTCAGGCGAAAAGGCCACATAACCATCCGCGCGGACGAATACCAGGAAGTCTTCGCTGGACCACCAACATTACGCCACCTATAAAGGCTACAGCTAACAGGCTTTTCAGAAAATACAAATATATGTACACAGATATTACGATTTTAGGGATATCGCGGCCAAAACATACCATTCAAAGTCACGTTTCCGGCGATTTACTGCGCACTTACTTAGACTCTGGTCAGAATTAAACTCCGACCCGGAACCTTAATGTAATGAATACCTTGAAAGACTGACTGAAGTAACTAGCTGGGAAGCATTTTGTATGGAAATTATGTAGCCATTGCAGCAATATTCTTCTGTACATGTTTTTTTTAATGTCTATTGTTTTATTGTGAAATGCCAGGATGGTCCCAAGCTACCTAACAATGGCTGTCTTGGCACCCCCGCCAATTTACATTAGGCAGACAATTAGCATTTAATTGGAGCCGCCACCGGCTATGTAAATTCTGACCTAAAATACTAGTAAGCCAATCGTCTCATACCTCGCATAAAACGACAGCTAATCAGTGCTTATGATACAAATTTCAAATCTGTCAGTTGGAGTGGACGTCACTCTATGTTTAAGCATTGCAGAGTGTGCACTGTGCAATCTAATCTTACCGATCTATAAAATGTCCACGGTTTCTGGAACCATGAAAAAGGAGACAATGAGAACTTAGCCATCATCCTCAGGGAAAAGTACGGCCGGAAGAATTACCTCCTTGCTCCCAAGCAGACTCCAAGAGCAAGACTACCGCTAGGCTGAGCAGAAACATGCACGGGGAACCCTGCCAGATAGCCCGACGCCACCCGGCGTCTCTCGCAAAGGACGGAAGATTTTTCATGTAATTATAATTATAAGCGGTTTATATTTGTTCCATCTGGTTTTTGAATGTTGACATGTTGTACATTGAATTTGTTTGCCACTTCCTTTGCCTTGTTTTCGTCGGAAAATATATCTAACGAACGATTATGTACCATTTCAGCAAATGGAGAGGGGACACAGAAGGCAAGACAGCCGGACCGGACGTAGAACATACACACAAGAGACAAATCCCCGAGCCCACTGAAAGCGTCGAGGGGAGAGCTACTGTAAGTTCAGTTATGTTCGCAGGGGATAAATTTCGCGTTAGGAAAGGAAAGAATTATTTTGCGATGTTTAAAGTTCACGGTTGAAACAATACCTAAGCACATTTAGTACATTTACAGTGGCGTCAGTGCCTTTACACTTGGTTGAAATATGCCTCTTATTATGGGTTCACCACACCACGAAGTGGTGGTGAACCCATATTGCTTTTTCTGATGTTTCTTCTTCTCCTCCTCCTTCTCCTGCCATTTTTTTAATGGCTTCAGCTTCTTCATTTTAGGGCCCAAGGTCCTGAAATTTGGTATGGAGGTACAGTGGGCAAATACCCCTAGGCGTTTTTTAAATTATTGTGATACAGGCTTTTAGAATGGTTTTATTTGAGTTTTTTGGCTGTGTTATAGCAAATGTATTACTGTGTTAGTGTGCCTTGTTTACCACGTTTGGGCATTAGTCATCACAATGGAATGCAGGGCATCAACCAATAGGCATGCAGCTTTCCTCTATACTTCTTGCTGATTGGCTGTTGGGATTTAACTTGATTAACACCCGCACAGAGCATTTCCACCTGCACAGAGCATTTCTTGCTGATTGGCTGTTGGGATTTAACTTGATTAACACCTGCACAGAGCATTTCCATACTGACAGTATGTCTTTATTCAAGTGTTTTGGTAGGTATTTCAAGCTTTTCTGCTCCAGCATTGGAATGCGGGGCATGGACGTTTTTTGTTTTTTTTTGAAAATCAACAGTTTGCATTATGCAATTAAAAATCCTAACCAATAAAGTAGGGAATAGCTATCCAACTGTTGTTTAAGTTGTATTTTACTTCATATTATAGTTATATCAATGTAAATCATTGTTTTCCCTTGTGTTTCTCATTCTTTCCCTGCCATGTCGTAAAATGTGGTGAACCCATCGCTGTATTTGCTCCAAAGCAAATATTGGCCTTTCTAGTTGTGGCATTGTGTTATATATACAGTATATTGTATGGTACACAATTTTGCCAAAATTGTGTACCATACAATATACTGTATATATAATACAATGCCACAATAAGAGGCATTGTATTATATATACAGTATATTGTATGGTACACAATTTTGGCCTGTAGGCCGCTATCGATGCATGTCTTCCACTTTTGTCTTGTCTCATTTGAAATGCAGGACAGCGCAGTTCTTGTTGTGGAAACATCGGAGAAGAAGGATCAAACAGCGTGTTTCATCTGTGTTTACCAGTAAACAAACGTCCGTGCCAGGTGTGCATTCCACTGCCACCATCGCAGCCGATCCGATGTTGTTCACTAGTATTTGCACATTCATGCCCATGAGGGCTAGGCGCCAAAAGACTGGTTTTCCAGCTGTTGTACTTCATAAAACAGATCACATTCGCGATCTCATGACTTCGCGATGGAGCGGTCATCGTGAATACCGCGAAAATAAAACCACCACGATCATTTCAAGATTTACAGTATATCCGCCCGCGCGGATGTCCCACTAAAAGGAAACAGCCGCTCTAGCCACTGGTAGAAACAAACGCCGGCCAGCTAAAAGTCTACACAGGAGGATATCCCTGGACGCTGTATGTAATACCAGTGAGGTCCGATCCGGGCACTAGCCTCTACCAGGCTTGGGGAGGCGGCCGGAAAGAGTAGAAATCGGCCAAATAGAGAGATAAGCATGCCAAGGGAGTTTGTCTCAACGGACAAGCCAAGGGAGTTCT